GGTCCTGCTCACGTGTTGCGTAGGTCCTGCTCACGTGTTGCGTAGGTCCTGCTCACGTGTTGCGTAGGTCCTGCTCACGTGTTGCGTAGGTCCTGCTCACGTGTTGCGTAGGTCCTGCTCACGTGTTGCGTAGGTCCTGCTCACGTGTTGCGTAGGTCCTGCTCACGTGTTGCGTAGGTCCTGCTCACGTGTTGCGTAGGTCCTGCTCATGTGTTGCGTAGGTCCTGCTCACGTGTTGCGTAGGTCCTGCTCACGTGTTGCGTAGGTCCTGCTCAGTAGTCCGCAACTTGGCAATTTTTCGCCATTTCTCTAGAAAATTTCCAAGTCAATTTACATAATTCAATTAATCTTAACGACTTCGATTTTGAAATGATAAGTTGAATCCATGATGAGAATTTATTCGTAGAAATTAGACATGGAAATTTTTTTAATAGTGGTTGACGTAATGCAAATTAGACCTAATGATTCAAATCGTTAATTGATTCAAGTCTCATTCGTCATAATCAAGAAATTTTTATTGTTTTTTTAGCAATAGTCATTTCATTTAGCCGTGAGTTTAATAACCTCTCAATGCGTTTAGTTTCCTGCGACCACATGCATGAAATGCATTAAAAAAGCTTTATAAGCAATGAATATGACTGAGTAATGTTAGCAACAGCTGCTGCTTGCAACAGATGTTCCATGTACACCTGTGCAATAATTTATTGTCGATAGTTAACGAGCGATCGTTAAGCTGAATTAATGAATTTCCAAAACCTGGTGCGAGTTATCACCTTGAGGAGTTCACTGTTACTCCACCGATACTCCACCGATACTCCACCGATACTCCACTGATATGCCGCCGATACTCCACTGATATGCCACCGATACTCCACTGGTATACCACTGATACTCCACTAATGTGCCACCGATACTCCACTGATATCTCACTGATACTCCCTTGATACTCCACCGATACTCCACTGATATACCACTGATACTCCACTGATATGCTACCGATACTCCACTGACATGCCACTGATACTCCACTGATATGCTACCGATACTCCATTGATATGCCACTGATACTCCACTGATTACCCGCTGATAATTCACTGTTAATCCATTGATGCAAAACTGAAACTTTTAAACTGATAAATCGCTGACACTCCACTGAGACTTCACTGACACTCCACTGATACTCCACTGATACTTCTGACAGTTCACTGATACTCCACTGTTACATCGCTGACACTCCACTGATACTTCACTGACACTCCAAAGATTCTCCACTGAAACTCCACAGACACTCCATTGCCACTCAGCTGATACATCGCTGACACTGCCGCTGGATTTTTACGACAGTCGCGGACATTCTTTGCGCTAAGTTTCGTCAACAAGAGAAATTCATCGATAATTAAAAGAAGAAAAATAAACAAATAAATGTTACCCATGATTGAACTAATGATTGCGTGTGAGGTATAAACTTCAGTCGAGGTCGCAACCAAATGCATTAGTTATAAGCTAAAATATTAGGATATGTTATTGCCATAAGCTTAAATATTCAGATATGTTACTAAAGTTATTGCCATAAGCTTAAATATTATTGCCGCCACGTACGACAACTTTAAAATGTTCTCTGTTGCGTACAAACGTCCTCAGGTTGCCATACATTCAATAGTTTACGTATAATTTAACTTAAGAGTTATGTTCCCGCAGGGTTAAATGGGTTAAGTAGGGATTACCTTGTGCCCAGCAGACCCAGAATAACTTATAGCCGATTGTAGCGACTCTTGAGCAGGATCGTAGGTGTACCTCAAATTTTATTGCGGTAAAAATTTTGTTAAGGTCGTAACCCTCATTGACCCCCCCACTTGCCCCCCCCCGCAGGTGTCCTCCAGCTGCGGCACTGGCGGGGGGTGCCCCTGGAGCACGTGGCGGCTGACAGCGACACCACAGTGGGGGAGGTGCTGGGGGAGCTGTCCACCCTCGCCACCCTCCACGTCAGGATATACAGGTGGGGGAGTATTATTATTGATCGTCAATTTATTATTGATCGTCAAGTTATTATTGATCATGAACAGGTTGCGTGCGTAGCGTCTTACGCTTTACGCCGAGTATTCGCGTAAATAAGTTCTCGTATGAAAGGATACGGCAAAAATTTTACAGAAAGAGGGCTGCCATGAAACACTGGTACATTTAATATTAAATTTGCGAAAATTAAGTGCACATCATAAGTTGCAAAATCAGTTGCTTCAAGACATGAACATACATGTATTAAGAACTTGACATTAATCAATGTGTAAGCATCAATTTAAACTAATATGCAATAGTTCGATCCATCACTTCGAAATGTTAAGTCTCAAATTGCTGTTCGAACTTTCCCACTTTACACAGAAACTGTTGGTCCGTAGCGCGATCCCGTATGATTGATTATACGGTTACTACTCCGTAACCGTATCGATTACAAAGGTAATGCTGTAATGACGGCCGTATTGTTCCATGTAGCCTTAGAGCTGATGTAGTTCTGTAGCTACAGCCTCGCATTCTAAAAAAATGTTTCAGGTTTACCCTGGCCGTAGATTTACAGGCGGTCGTACTGTAAAATGACCGTTATTGTCACAGTTTATTAGCGTTGCTGCCGTACTCGTGGCCGTACTGCTGCTGTACTCAACCGTACTCCTGACGTTACTTTAATAATCTGATTACGGTTTTATTAATCGCTGCGAGTCTGGCAGATTCTTGCGAGGTCTCGAAAATAAGTAACGGCCGGTTCGGCCGTTGCGTTGATGTAGGCCGTACAGAAATTAAGGTAAATTATGGTCGTCATTTATAGACGCTCGTGCTGTAATCGTAGCTGTACCGATGAGTCGAAGTTAATCGCAACTGTTAATGTTCGAAAAACCTGCGACCGTGTGACGGTTACTACAGTAAAACAAACTTTAGGCATGATTTTTAGGGTCAGCACGTTTGATATTCTCGGCCGTTACAAAAAAATATAAAAACGAACTCACTCCCCAATTGTATACGCAAGCCAATTAAGTTGTCCAGTCAAATCCTGTTTGATTGCTTAACATAGCGCAATCCCTTCATAACTTCTCCACCCCACCTATGTTTAATATTATAATTTAAAATGAAGTCAAAAATTTATACGCTTTATTCATGCGCGACTGTCATTGTACGTGTCACTATTGACAGTGAAGTATGTGTGTCACTATTCACAATGTCACTGTCAATACACGTGCACTATATACATGTATCACTATTCACAATGACTCATGATGAAGCGACCACGTGTCACGTTATCTTGCGTCTGCAGAAACGTTTTCTAATTAAAGTGTTTAAGAAGATTAACGAGTCGTCGAGACCTGTTAATTCCCTCTAATAAGTCGTTAATGAGACGCCTAAGTAGACTCCAATAAAACTCAGCTACTTAAACCACCAACGAGGGCGAGGCTGACTTTTTCTTTCGTATTTTGTTTATTGAAATTTGCGCTGAAATGTTCAATTTTAACATTTATTTTCTTAATTTTATACTGATTTTAAATTTGTAATTATTTAACTTAATAATTTTCAGCGTTGGAATATTTTTAGCACATTTTCTCATTTACGGAAAAAATGCACTATTGTGCTCGCCATGTCCGTCTGTCTGTCTGTCCGTCCGTCTGCCTGTCCGTCTGTCTGTCTGTCAGTCCGTCCGTCTGCCCGTCCTTCTGCCTGTCCGTCCCTCTGTCCGTCCGTCTGTCTGTCTGTCCGTCCGTCCGTCTGTCCGTCCGTCTGTCCGTCCGTCTGTCCGTCCGTCTGTCCGTCTGTCCGTCTGTCCGTCCGTCCGTCCGTCCGTCTGTCCGTCCCTCTGTCCGTCCGTCTGTCTGTCTGTCCGTCCGTCCGTCTGTCCGTCCGTCTGTCCGTCCGTCTGTCCGTCCGTCCGTCTATCTGTCCGTCCGTGACTTCAAGTTTTCGTCGACGAGAAAATGCGCTCTCTGTCACTCACTGCAGTGAGTACTGAGTTATATTTTTTGAATATTTATCTGTATTTCACTTACTACCTGAATGCACTTTTATAATTGCATACTCGCACTGTACGCTCGTACAAATGAGACTTGTCTTAAATTATTATCAATGCAATTTTCGTATTTGTATGAGTCAAACTGATCCAGTTTCAGTGTTTCGTGTAAAAGTGTGTCACTATTTGTGAAACACTTCAGTATTTTCAGTGTTATGCGTAAAAGTGTTTCACTATTTGTGAAACACTTCAGTATTTTCAGTGTTATGCGTAAAAGTGTGTCACTATTTGTGAAACACTTCAGTATTTTCAGTGTTATGCGTAAAAGTGTGTCACTATTTGTGAAACACTTCAGTATTTTCAGTGTTATTTGTAAAAGTGNTGTGGAGTATTGTTTCAAGAGTGTGGAGTGTTTCAAGAGTGTGGAGTATTGTTTCAAGAGTATGGAGTATTGTTTTCAAGAGTGTGGAGTGTTGTTTCAAGAGTGTGCAGTGTTTTAAAAGTGTGAATGTTTCAAGAGTGTGGAGTATTGTTTCAAGAGTATGGAGTCTGTCTCTTATACACATCTAGATGTGTATAAGAGACAGTCTGAGGGCCTAGGACTTGTGAGGGCTGGGGATTTGTGAGGGCCGAAGACTTGTGAGGGCTGGGGACTTGTGAGGACCGAAGACTTGTGAGTGCTGGGGACTTGTGAGGGCTGGGGACTTGTGAGGACTGGGGACTTGTGAGGACTGGGGACTTGTGAGGACTGGGGACTTGTGAGGACTGGGACTTGTGAGGGCTGGGGACTTGTGAGGGCTGGGGACTTGTGAGGTCCGAAGACTTGTGAGGTCCGGAGACTTGTGAGGACTGGGGACTTTTGAGGGCTGGGACTTGTGAGGACTGGGGACTTGTGAGGACCAAAGACGGGGACTTGTAAGGTCCGAAGACTTGTGAGGACTGGGGACTTGTGAGGGCTGGGGACTTGTGAGGTCCGAAGACTTGTGAGGACTGGGGACTTGTGAGGTCCGAAGACTTGTGAGGACTGGGGACTTGTGAGGGCTGGGACTTGTGAGGACTGGGGACTTGTGAGGACTGGGGACTTGTAAGGTCCGAAGACTTGTGAGGACTGGGGACTTGTGAGGGCTGGGACTTGTGAGGGCTGGGGACTTGTGAGGGCTGGGGACTTGTGAGGGCTGGGGACTTGTGAGGGCTGGGGACTTGTGAGGGCTGGGGACTNGTGTCTTCGCCGCTGGCACCGGCTTCGACTTACGTTTATGTATGTAACAATTTTTTAAATACTTGCAAACTTCGGCACCATTACTATCATAAAAACATTAGAAGGATGCTCATTATCTAACGTCATTAATCACTAATTAACCTTTACCCTCACCTTGACCTTGCGAGGGCCAGCGAGGATAACTGGCGGAACCGAGGTCGCGCGTCCGGACGTCGGCCCTCAGATTAGCTATCGATTTTTGCGGAGGCTTAGCGTCGCTCATCCTAAACCCCCTCTCCCCTCACCTCTGCCCTCACTCCTCCCCTCACCCTACCTCTACTCCTCCCTTATCTAGTCCTCTAGGGCCGTCTATAGGCTCTAGGTGCTGCACTAGGCCGTCTGGCACTAGGAGTTCTATAGGCGGAATTTCATCACTGTACCTAGATTCATTTTTAGGTATAGGGCCGTGTTCTAGGTATAGGTCCGTGTTCTAGGTATAGGTCCGTGTTGTAGGTATAGGTCCGTGTTCTAGGTATTGGTCCGTGTTCTAGGTATAGGGCAGTGTTCTAGGTCTGTCTCTTATACACATCTAGATGTGTATAAGAGACAGATATAATGGTTCTATAACAGTTATATCCGGGGCAACCTAGGTGAACATGCTTTATTGCACGTATTTCTACTGTGAGCCTTTTTTTCTAGCAACCAATGCAACCAACTCTCAATAAAGCATGTTCACCTAGGTTGCCCCGGATATAACTGTTATA